GTTAAAGAAGAAGAATGGATGGTCCAATGTCAGGAAGAGTTCCTTTCCGAGATGAGGGTAATTGAATTACATCTAGCCGAAGTGTGGAAAGACAAGTCTGAACAGAAATCAGAGATTGTTCAAGATGCTGAAACAGTTGAAATCAATCCAGAGACCAAAGAGAAGGTCGAGGTAACTGAAAATAAAGGTAGCAAAAATGAACAAAATGTTGAATCAGAACCGCCTAAGGCGGATGAAAATGTTAGTGTTAATGATGTAAATGTAAAGAGTAATGAAAGTTTAATTGGCTTGTTTCAAACATTGGCTTTGCCAAAAACCAAGGTTAAGCAATATGAGGGAGATCCTTTATATTACCATGCATTTATATCAGGTTTCAATAATATGGTGACAAATGTACCAGATTATGTGTTAAAGTTAAACACCTTATTGTCGTACTGTTCAGGCAAAGCCCTAGAGTCTATACAGTTTTGTGTATTAAAACCACCTAAGGAAGGCTATGAGGCTGCGTGTAAAACGCTTAAAGAGAAATTTGGCAATACAGGAGTGATAGTGCAAGCTTGGGTGAGTAAAATCACAGATAGACCCAAGATAGAGGTTAATGCATTAAAACAGTATGCAGAGGATCTAGACAATTGTTTCCAAACCCTTAAGGAATTAGGATACCTCAACGAATTAAATAATCAAAGTAGCCTAAAACTAATCATTGAAAAATTACCAAGATTTCTTAGAAACAGATGGCAGAAGGAAAACTACCGACTGAAATTAAAATCCGAGAATGCTACACTTGAGGATGTTGTGAAGTTCATTAGAACATGTGCACTGGAAGTTAATGATCCTGTCTTCGGATTCAGTGAAATCAGGCAGCCAACTCACACAACAAATGTTAGAAAAGTACAGGTAAACAACTTGAACTGGAATGCAGATCGAGAAAGATCACCGAAGTGCTGGGTATGTAAGTCTAATGAACACTGGCCGGATCAGTGTAGCACACTGCTAAAGGCTAA